GGGGAGACCCTGGGTAATTGCTCCTTCCCGGGTGAAATATTTCGGGGCGGATTCCGGCTGCCCGGGAGGTACCGCGGCAGCGCAGGGACGCGCCAGGGGAAGCTCTGCTTTCTGCCTCAGCCTGCGCTAAACCTCGGTCCCCGAGAACCGCGACAGGACGCAGACCTCGAGGTCACTGCGCGGAGCAGAGGCACTGTGAGTACAGTACAGCTGAAGTACTCAGTTTTGATCTTAAATAATGCATGGGCGTAACGCCACTAGAGCCCCTTGGGGACCGGGTTTTATTGGCTTACACCTCGTCCCTGGAGAGGAAATTATGAGAAGAGAGTAATTGGAAAATGTAAAAATGATAGGAAACAGATATGTGCTTGCTTCATTGTCCAGACCTCTGTGGTGGGTTTCCATACACGGGGCCCGTCCGTCCCCGCTGTGCTGCTCTCTGGACCCCTTCAGTCTCCTGTCCCGTCGCTGTGTCCCCGTCAGCGCCTGTGCCGATGGGGCCGGCTGAGCCCGGCGCCGCGCGTCCTCTTTTTTTTTGTTCTGTGAGCCGCAGCTCTCCTGGCCCGCGCTCTGCTGCGTTGGAGCCTGGGGTGGCTCCAGGTGTGAGCAAAGCTCGCAGCGACGGCCTGAGGTACTCCGGGCACCAAGCCCCGTCACGCAGAGCCTGAAAGAAGTCAACAGCGGCTCTGGTTTACGTCTCCATTACAACCAGGATACAATAATTTTCTGTAGATAAATATTTAAATACATGTATTTTTTTGTATGACAGGTTTATACAGGGTGTACCATTATTCGCTGTGAAAAGTCTACATCACCTATAAATTATTCTCCTTCAATTCCTTGCCATAAGATTTTTTCTTATCTCTGTTGTATTACGAAGTTCTGGAAAGTTGCATATTTTAAGTGTTTCCATTGAACTCCGCAGACTTCACTGGGAATTTTGCGAGAAAACAAATGCCAGGTCAGGTCCTGATGTTTCTTCTGTTGCCAATTCTTTATTGCTCTATACCTTGCCAAAAAGAGAAGAGTAGTAATAAAATAATAGCAAAAAGGCTGGTAATATGGACTTAGACACTGGACAGTGCTGAAATCCTGATGCCTTGGTAATTTTTTTTTAAAAATTATTTCAGTGGAAATATATGTAAAATATTTCTTTGTATTTTATGTTAATACCTTGCTGTAATTTTACTGCATGAAAATTCTGCCATGTCACAGAAGATGATTTAAGTTATGACAAGTTTGTGTTTTTGCAGATACTGCGAGAAGCCATTGCCTATGTGGAGTAATAAATGTGTATTTTTAACATTGCCAAGTATGTGCTGTCATTTCTAGGTTATTCATCTGTAGAAGAAAACATTGAGTCTTGCAAGAAGCAGACGTTACAGTTACATTTCTCGTTGAGCGTCCGGAT